CCGGGTTTTTTCTTCCGGAGGGGGCGCAGGCGCCGAGCCCCGCGACCGCCATCAACAGCCAGGGCAGCTTCATGGTCGGGGTGCGCGGGCACAGCCTCCCGGTGCCGCCGCTGCCTTCACCGGGTTCAGGGAGGTGGAGGGAGGAAACAAAAGCCGCCGCTGCTGCTGCTGGTGATATTATTACAGCTACTGCTGCTGCTTCTGTTGCTGCTGCTGCTTCTGTTGTTGCTGCTGCCGCCGCTTCTCTCCGCGTCCACGTCCAACTTCACAGAGCTCTGCTGTCTGTCCGACCATCCGCCTGTTTGAAGTCGGTGCTTTAATCCCGGGCTTCACGCCGCCGTCGCTGCACGGTGTGTGTGTGTGTGTGAGGCCTCTGTGTGTGTAGGTTTGTTCCAGTGAGTTTCAGTGAGAGAGACCTGGTAGTTTTGGTACCGAGAGACGACTGAGTGCTGCTCTCTCTCACCACACACTAGTCTCTCTCTCTCTCTGTCTCTCTCTGTCTCTCTCTCTCTCTCTCTCCTCCCCCTCTCTCCGTCGAGGGCAGGATGTTCCGTATGGCGACGCTGTTTGGCCCGGGAGTCTGGCAGGAGTGTGTGTGTGTATGTGTGTGTGACAAGAAGAAGAAGAAGAAGGAGGAGGGGGGATCTCCGCGTGCAAGGGCGAGGATGCCCCCTGCAGCTCATTTTTAGTCACCCGCAGCCTTATGGCAGCCCAAGACACACACACACACACACACACACACACACACACACACAGAACGGCCTCTACAGCTGTGTGGAGGACCACAGACAGATTGTTTCCTGTTTTGACAAATAGATCATTAAATCAAATTAAATGTTTACATGTAAATACACACATCCAGCACAAACACATTCACTAATTCAACAATGATCTGCTGATCTGAGACCAGTGACGACGTCATCAGCCCGCCCCTCAGCCCCACGGACACGCTGTGTATTTGACCTTTCCAGGTTAAAAACGATGTGGAGAACACCCATCATACCCTGGGGTATCTCTGTCCCACCACGTGACCATTTAGGTTTTAAATAAAGTAATGAAACGCCTCACCTAACCTCATAAATCTGAACTGTAAAAATCCACTTGGTGGTGATGTCTGAAAGTGATGAAGCTCCAGAAGAGAGAGAGTTATTGTCCTGTTAGGAAATTTGTTCCTGAAAAAGTCAGTGTTTTTATTGTCCTGTTAGTAAATTTGTTCCTGAAAAAGTCAGTGTTTAACTTCAAAAAGCTCTTAACAATGTGACAAACTCACACACACACACACACACAGCCCCACACACACACAGAGCCACACTAATGGCTGCTCCCACCATTGTGTCTATTCTTTCTCACTCAGGCGTTTCCACTCGGCCTCCCACCATTACACACCTTCACCTCCTGTTCTGTTGCCGAGACGTGATTGGCTGAGTCACGGCTCAGCCTGAGATGAGTTAGCTCACACCTTGGCCTACACAACAGACGCGCTGTCTTTTTTTATTTACTTTTCTATTCTCATTTATTTATTCAGTCAACGCTCGGCTCCGTAGCCTACTTGTGTCGCCTAGCAACCAGGGTGAGCCATTACTGGAGTGTAACATGGCAGGAGGAAACCATGGGAAATGACATGTCAAATGTAAATGACAAAAATAAGCCAATGACAATCAAGAGCTGTCGACCAAAGGAGGAATCAACTCCTCAGTTTCTGAAGAATAATTAGAGCAGAATCCAAAACTTTCCAGTCGATCTGTTTCGTGTCTTCCCCGTTTCCATACCCCAGGCAGGGGGATGATGTTTTGAGCTGTTTGTGCGCAGGTTAAGTCATAAGGTCAGGGGAGGATTCTGATTAAATTTCCTGTGGATGTATCGGCCTTAAGGCCCAGGGATGAACTGGATCAGGATGTGGAACCTGGACTTTTAAAAAATGTTATCCTTGTAAGGTATGGGAGTTTTGACATTTTCTCTAACGGCTGCTGAATACCAGCATCAATTTTTATTACCTCATTAAAGTTAATGTGTCATTTGATCAGAATCTGGAAAGAGCTCCAAACCAGGAGAAGACGTTGAAGTATGGAAGGCATATGGAGCTTCTTTTTTTCCCAGGTTTTAATTTTTAGCTTCGTAACTCTGTTCTACTGTAAGATACACACATTGATGAGAGACAGCTGTAGTCAGTGACCACGACAGACCATCATCAACAGTGTGTACTGCACTCTGTTGATAGGAGAGTGCCGTGCAGAAAATATAAACATATTTTGAAGACCAAACTTATGAGAGAAAAAAATCAACTTTGTTGAACTCAGTGACCCAAACCTGCGGCATCTCTGAGTTAAGGATTAGTCAGAGAAGTTTGGGGATTTTTCCAAATCAAAATTTGGAAAACACTTCTCAAAATAAAACATCTATTATGTCTGTGACTTGGCTTTGACACTTGACATTGCATACATTTTTTATACAACTTCTCCTGGAAGTTGCATCAAACCAAAGCAGCGATGGCAAATTGGGGCAAGTCCAGACACATCCCAACAAGACCAGACCTGAAGAACCCATTCATCCTTCTTCCAGCACTGAATGTTCTACAGGGTTGCTAGTGGAGAGGGAGTTAACCCCAGGTGACTCGGCAGAGAAAGGAGTACACCCAGGGGAAACCTATGGAGGCAAACAACCATTTAGACCCACATTCACACCAATGGACCACAAGAAGACACCTAAAGGTACAGGATGGTATCACCACTGACCACACGGTACACAGTAAGTACTAAAAAAAAGTGCATGCATATTGTTCGGTGCTGTAAAAATACATCACATCATCATCTACATAACGAGTGAGCAGTCGTCTGTGAACTCTCTGCTACGTTCACAGCTACATCCCTAAGTATCTGAAGATGCCTACGTCGTCCTGCAAAGTTCTGTTGGCAGCCCACGTTATTGTTAATAATTCAGTTGTTATAGTCGCAGTCAGATAAAACACTAAAGAAAATCTAAGGTCCATCTCGCAGCCTCGTACGTGAGGAATGTACACGCTGTATTCCCAAATAACTCCGCAATATATCAAATGACTGCAAAAGCAGCTGACACACAGTAAACACAATGCCTCGGAGCCTCCTCTGTGTCAGGGCCCAGACGTTGTTGCCCACTTTTTACAAGGCTGGTGGTAATTACGCCCACAGCCCACAGGGTTAATGAGGCTTCCTCGCAGCCTCAGCTGATTGCGCCGTCCAGGTGGTTTAAAAACCACTGTGGCTGAGCTGCCTTCACTTTCCCTGCTTTACTGCCACCAACACCACACCACACCCAGCCAGGCTTGTTTTTCAAAGTTATATCCTTGTCAGAAGTCCAGTCAGGCACTGCACGCTCCGAATAATGCTGGACAAGTACAAACAGGTTTATGTATGTCCTCTAGACTCCTTGAAAGATAAAACTAAAGGAGCCCGAGAGGGAAGGTGTGTTTTTACAAGATACCAACACGGACATGAAAGTGGAGTCTGATAATTTCCCGTTCTAAACATCTCAACCATTATTCAACTCAAAGGAATCATTATCTGCCTATTAGACTGCTGCGAACAGACTTGTCTTTATTTCCTCTTAAAACATATATTAGACTGCTGCGAACGGACTTGTCTTTATTTCCTCTTAAAACATTGTTTTTCTGTTTCCCCCACACCAGCTGTGATGATAAGAGGCTCTTATGTATAATTACCTAGAAGATGCAGCCAGGGATTGGTTTTCAAACTCCAAACCACCGCCGTGGTAACAGGAACGTTACACGCTGGGAGCACTCTTTGCCATAACTGGTCAACATTGTTGGGTGTCATGAGTCAGAGCCACGGCATGTTAAAGAGTCAGTCTCATTAATGAGTCACTTTCATGGAGAACCTGAGGCAAGGGCGTCAGCCTCCATCAGGAGCAGGCTAATGGGTAGAACTGGGTTACAGCCACGGGCCGGCAGGAGTCAAGTCAGCTATTGAAATTAGGAGCAAACCCAGTGAATTTGTTGGATAAATAAACAGGACAATATTTCAAAATGAATCATCCCCAGGAGTGGAACCCTAAATATGTTTCATTATATTCAGGAGTAGCTTTGTATAAGCAGGATTTAAAAATCACGGCAGAAGGACTGTTTGATGGAGGACCTCACATTCTAACACTGGGAAGGCTGGGATTTACAGCGTTAACCGTTGAATGTGCTTTGTACGGGCGGGCTGGTTGTGACAGATATGAAAATTTAGCTGACAGCTGTAAAACCAATCTAATGGACAGGCCACATTATTCAGTTCTGATCCAATTTTTTAACCACAGGCACTAGAATGGTTAGTATCTATAAATATATACATGTATAGATATTTGTAAGACTGCCATATGTAAATATATAGGCATGTGCATACAAATTCCATCTGCATTTATACTCATACATTATACCTCACATTTCATGCTATTTCATGATTTTTGCAAAAAAATCTGAAATAGCAATTTAGCCCCCTAGTGGGGTGTTAAGGTAATGTGCTACCAAAAGATGTAAAGTGCCATGACCCTAAAATAATGACAATATCTAAATATAAATACATGATTGGATATTAGTAAATAGAAAAAAAAACTCTTAACCAGTCTAGTGTTTTATGGCAGAGCTACACAAGTTTTTGGATCAGGATAATTATTTCCTCAAATAATAATGTTACATTACATATAAAATATATAGACTTCAAACCGATATAATACTGATCCAATGACGATCGTACATCGTAGCGTGCGTAAAATGATTCACACCTGAGGCAGTTAAATTTTCAAAGTTTTTTTTTGTTCAGTTTGGTTTCAAAATAAAGATCACACAATTGTTTAGAGACAATCTACAACAGGAGTTACAAAAAATAGTTGCCCAGGCAATAAGCATACACAGGTTCTGTTAACTATACACATATGGTTACAGGTGTGCTCGTAGTAAATATACACAAGGCTGCTCCAAATGTACACCGCGCTGTGGCGGGCGGCCTCTCTCACCCAAAAGGACATGAACAGTATGATACAGCACTTACAGCACTAGAGAAATGCCAAAAAACACAAGAATATCCTCTGTACAATCCGTGGGTTCAGCCATGAAAGTAGTCATGGAGAACTGAGGGGTCTGAGGTGGCTTCAACTGAGTCAAATTTACTTCTCCCGCCCAACCAGCAAAACTATACACATGACACATTACATGGGGCATTCCTTTATAAAAATTAAAAAAAGAAAAAAAAAACAAACTTCAACACAAATGGGAGAACACCACCAAGGCTAACAGAACATGTCCGATTGGGGGTCAGTGGGAGATGGATCTTTAAGTTAAGCAGTGATGAGATAAAGATAAAACCAAGCGTGGTGAATCTTTGTACAAGAACTACGCTGTATAGAAAGGGCCTTTCAAAACAAAATTTTGATATTACAATTTACAATATACAACAACTTATATGTCACAACCAAGGAGGTGAGAATATACACTGAAATGCACAGGGTTTTTTTTTCCTAAGATTTTTTTTTTCCAGAGTGAGATTTTTTTTTCCTTCTCATACCAAAAGGGTGGTAAAGCACTTTTACATTACAAGGGTTTACAAATGTACAATTATACAGTCAGAAGTATGTGGTCACTACTAGGATACATTATAGATACAGATTCAACATCAAAAACCAGAAAAAACTACAAAGTTTTATATATATATTTATATATATATATGCAAAGGTCTACACCAAGTATACACGTTATATTTATAGAAGCAAGACCAGAAAACGAAATCTCCCATGCTAAATGATCTGTCTGCTGGTTAGCTGATGGCATCGGTGTGTGTGTGTGTGTGTGTGTTTATCTACACCAGTGCGTTTATGTGCGTGTGTTTGTGTACGTATGTGTATTCATCTACGACTCTGTGAGGTGGGACAAGTTAAATACTCGTTCGATCCTATAGTGGTAAATAGTTAGGTTGGCGGGAAAAAGGGAAACTAGGATTGTGTTTGCAGCAGTAGCAAAATAGTTTCAGTTTTATCAGAAAGGATGAACTGGAGAAAATAAAAATAAAATTTTTTTTAAGGGAGTGAAGCAATTTTCTCCCTTCCTGCTCACTCGTTTACTCCCTGCCCTCCTGCCCTTCCTCCTTCCCTCCGTGGCCTAAGGTGCAGGAGGAGCAACCAAAAATCTACTCCTTTGGAGTTGTCATGGAAACAGGTTGCTCCATATCCTCACAGATTTGGAGGGTGGAGGTGGGCACGAGGCCATCCGGAGGGTCAAAGAAGGACAGGGCAGAACAGGGCGGGGCGGGGCAGGCAGACGAGGTGAAGATTAAAAGGGTGGGGGTCAAATCAGATGCAGACTTTCAAGCATAAGAGAGAGGAGGGGAGGGCGGGGGTCAGTGTTTACATGATGCCGTTGGGGGGGCCACACAGAGGACCCAGGTCAACGCCGTTCTTCATGTAGTACTTTTCCAGCTTGGCCAGAATGTGTTTTCCATACGTGTACTTCCTCAGGGTGGAGATGTGGGGCCGGATCTGTGCGGAGACGGGGACAGAACACAGACGGTCTGACATTTTCACGACAAATTCAAACAACACCACGGCTGGATTGTTAGACACCAATGCCGTTGAAAATCAATAGTGGCTGCAGTTTCAGCCGACTTTGGTGTCACTGCTGTAGAAACCAGCAACTTGGTGAGAAGGAAATTAGAGATGAAATATTTTTTTCTTTCACTGCTACAACAGTAAACCCTTCAACACATCATTCAAACATCATTCTGTGGTATCAAGTTTAAAAAAAAAAACACCCTGGGGCCCACTGCTCCTTACAACAAACTCAAAGCTACAATTAAGTGACTCACAATTATACAATGTGTTTTTAACAGTTACAGTCATTCAGACTTCTACAGATTACTACTTCACATTCTGGAATTTCTTTAAATTTCTTTAAATCAGATAACCAGAGAGAAAAGTCGCTGCAGTAGACAACAGATCAATTTCTCACCCACAGAGCCTGCGGTTTCAAACTCAAATTACCTGAGGGCTGAGGAGTCTAGACAGAACGGGACACACAACTGCAGTAACACAAAACTGGGAAGAAATAGTGCTGCTCAGAAGGTTTTTAACATAACGTTGTATGGTTGTTTTTGTCTCATCTTTTTGGTTTATTCCTCTGCTGTCAGACCTGTCAGGGCCTCTGCTGAATTATAAATATATTTACAATCAAACATCAATTCTTACAACTTGATTACATTCAACATTCAAACTGTTTCCTAGAGCGGTGAAGGCATCACTGTCAGTCAATGACTGCAGCATTACTCTGCTTCTGATTGGCTGGTTTAGACTACCAGAATTAGAATAATTCTTTTAGATGTTTTAGATGTTACACCTGTTAAACGTTAGCTCAACAGTTACCAAAAGTAGCTACAACTTGGCAATGACCTCTGACCTTTGGTGTTTACAGCCAACATGGAACCCATTTTAGGCTGCACTGAAAACTCAAGTAGTTCAGTTGTTATTTCTCCGTCCTCTCCACCTACCTTGTGCATTACGATCTTGCGCTGGGTGGGCTCAGCGACGTCGATCATCTTCTGTACCACGTAGTTGGCGTACTGGTCCTTCATCATGGTGTATAAGGCACTGTGGGGGCCCTCCGTCAGGCTGCACACTTCGTCTATCAGTACCGCTCGCTCAGCCCGTGACGCGTGGGTCACACACTTCTCCACCACATTACTAGACACAGTAAGAAATTTAATTAGTTAAAATTTTAAAACATTGGCAACAACAAGACCACAACAAGAGAAAACTGAGTTATTTAAAAAATATAGCAAAAATGGGGGGGTGGACAAAGGGTACAACATCAATAAACAGTTGTTGTTTTCTACCTGGCAAACTTGTGCTGGCTCAGTCCCAGCACATTCCCTCTGATCTCAGCCACGATCTTGCTCTTGTCCTCTGCTCGGCCGTGCTCTAAAACGTGCTGGATCACGTAGTTTCCGTACTGATCCTAAATAAAACACAGCCACACAGTCACACAGAACGAAAACGTGAGGAGGACAGCTGGTGCCTCTGACGTGGCATCAAACACAGCCAACTCTGAAGATGCGGAGGCTCAGAGAAGAGCTTTATATAAACCAATCTGACTGTAATTACTCTGGGGAGAAAATATACCTGGAGGAAGTAGAAAGGCAGCAGCGAGTTTAAGTTTGTGTGTGTGTGTCTGTGTATGCGATACCTGCACGAGCTGCTCGGTGTGTTGATGCAGCTCCTCCAGTATAGGCAGCGTCTGTTCAGGAAGGCAGTGTTCGAGGATGCGCTGAATGACTCTGCAGCCGTAAGGGTGAGTGGAGAGGGCAAAAACCTGAGAGACATGTCATTAGTCAGGGTTAGTCTAGTTTTCTGCTGCAGGCATTTTTTTGCAAAAATAAAAACAAATCAGACAAAAACTTTATACTTCCACTTATTTTATTTTTTTTATTTAATACCATTCACCAAGAAGTAAAATGTGACGCTAATGTACTTTAGCTCAAACTTTTCTCTCTAATGGCTCAGAGAGATTTAAAAAAAACAAAACAACAAATGATTATAAGCACTTTTTTTACACAGCTAGCACTTTCACTACAGAGGAAGGAAATCAAATCTCTAACCCCGCTTTCTGCTACACAAACAAATCTGGTCCAGATTGGAAAGTAAATCAGTGTGAAAAACAAAACAAAAAGCGTGAGGAGTCAAACACACACCAATCACGGCAACTGTCAAGACATTGCGGGTGACACCTCAGGAGTGATAACGTTTGATTTGTATTTAACACAGAGCGTTTATGCTAATGTAACATTTGGCTGGTGGAGAGAAGATGGCTGTAGCCACTGGGCTGAGGGTCTCTGTTGCCGTGGAAACGTACCCAGTGCCTGGAAAGGACTGACTTGGTACTTTGGCAGTGGCAATATGCTCACTGCCTCCAGGCTTCACTGTGTGTATGTATGTATGTGTGTGTGTGTTTGTGCGTGGATGTCAGCCAAGGCCTCAGCAGGCTTTCTGTGATTGAATGAGGAAATATTGTATGTGTGGGCGATGAGAGCGAAACCCACCTGTCCCTTAAAGGCGTCGATGATGAAGTGCAGCGCATGCGGCTGAACACACTCGATACACTTCTGCACCACGTGGTTACCGTTCTGGTCCTTCACACACTTCAGCACGTGGCCGTCCAGCTCCCGCACCATCTCGCTCTGCAGGGAGAAGGAGGAGGTGGCGGAGGAGGAAGTCAGCAGAGGGACGGGTAATTGCGTGAGAGCAAAATCAAATATGGCCCGGGAACATTTCCGGGACTTCATATTTTTCTGCGGCTCTAGGCCTTTGAACGGCTGCACTGAGGAAAATCCATCCAGCTCCGTCGAGGAGACAGGAACACTTGTCACTCTCTTGTACCTGATCTGAAAGTTCTGTTGACACTGGGCGTCATTTACACCTGCTGTTCAATCATTTGCATATAAACTGTGGCTTCATTCTCTGTTAGTGACGGAGAGCCTGAGAGAAACAGGCAGCTGCACATGGCAGCGCCGTGAAAACAAAAGCCATGACAGAGATGAAGAACCAACGTTCCGCCATGAGAACCGCACCGTTTTATTGATGCCATTTTCAGAGGCATTCATACAAATTAGTGAACCCCGCTGCAGAACACCGATATGCTTCCAAGTGAAGTATGAGAACAGAGATGTGTGATTTGGAACACCAATACTGGCTGAAGCAGACTAATTTGCAGAGTTATGGCACAATGTGTTCAGCAGTCGGAGGGCAAAGGTACAGTCTGTCGACGTTGTTTACACAGCCCTAACATCCAATGAGAGCCGGTGTACTCACAATGACCTGCTGGTCCGAGGGGATGAACTCCAGGGCCTTCTGGATGACCCTGCAGCCGTACATCTGCAGGGCCAGAGACAGGACATGACCTCGGATCCTCTCTGCCAGAGCCAGCTTCTGGTCCAGGCTTCCAAACTGGAAAACACACATTCAACAGAGTCGGTGATACACCAGTCAGACATTGATGCACAAGATAGACATTCACTTTGAAGACACACTGACCCATTATTTAATTAAGCTAACAGACTTTTGATTAACGTCAGGATGTTCCATCAGTATTAACTGCTGGGTTTTTAATGAATTTCTAACTAGAATCGACAAAGGGCCTTGAAGAAGACTTCCGTTTCTCTCATCTTTACTTTTTCTGCAAAAGCATAAAATATTTTACCCTTTTCAAATTTATGTAAACCATAAATATTTGAGCCTAAACTCATGGTTCCCACTATTAAAGGCTTAAATCCCTTGAGTTTTGTTATCAAATATAAAAATATAAAGAATAAACATCACCAACAGAGGCAGTAGTGGGCGCCTGCTACACACCTCAAAGAACTTCTGGATGACATAATTCCCAAAGACATCCACCATTAGCTGATAGGCAGCCTGCAGTATTTCACTGAAGACCAGCTGACGCTCCGCTGAACTGGCTCTCTCCAATTTCAACTGGATAAACCTGTGAGAGACAGAAAGAAAAGAGGGCTTTTCATAATTGTTCCTGAGCTTTTGAGAGGGTCTTCAAGGAGTGCACAGCTCACCCTGGTAGGGAGGGAAGAGGCAAAGGCAAAGAAATGAGCACACATCAGAGAGTGACAGAACAATAAAGTGATACAGATGTACATGGACAGGGGAGACACAGTACGCCTCCCTAACCTGAGGGAAGAGATGGAGACAAAAGGAGGTGAAGTTCAGAGTCTAGCAAACACAGAGGGAGTTGAAAGAAGCAGGCAGTCTGTGAGGTGAAGTGATGGATGCCAGGCAGAGAGAGATAAAAGCCACAGTGATGCTGCAGAGAGCGAGGAAAGGAAATGTCTGGAATGTGCAGACTGGACGTCATTGTGTATTAATAGATTGCTTTGGAAATCAAATTTGCATTTGGGGCTTTGCTGGTCCGGCCCAGACAGTCCCAGAAACCAGGACCCCAGAGTTTTCTCCAGGGATTGGGCTGTCTGTCTCACAGCAGATGGTTTGCAAAAATTCTTAACTTTCATATCAAAAACAGAGAGGGAAGTCATTTCTCAGTGACATATTTCCCCAGAGAAAACCAAAAACCGAGACCATTTGAGTACCTGCTGCCGTGCTGGTCCTGGCTGAACTCCATGATGTGGCCGGCGATGTCTCTGAGCTGCAGGTTGGGGTAGCGGTTGTTCCTGAAGTCCTCCAGTAGGCGGCTGCGGCCAGAGGGCATCACGTCCGACATGCCGTAGCGTAGCCGCGACGACGGGAACAACTGGCTGCTGGGAGAGAAGAGGGAGGAGCCTGAACTGGCGGCACTGCGGTATTTGGCTTCCGCTCCTGGGGCGGCAGAAATGAAACGCCCGCTGCCGTTGGTCAAGCCTCCTGTGGGGTCAGGACAGAGAAATGATGACTACAAAGTGAAGACCTCCAAGACGGTGACTGCTGTGGATATTATTTGAGAAATCAGAACCCATTTCATACAAGTACTTAAGTCACAATGTCACTGCTTCAGTGCAGGTGTGTGCCTGTTCCTCAGCCATGTTTAATACACTCTGAAATAAGCAGCCCATGCTGTAGATCAAGCCGAGCCATTCATCATTCCCACATCACGACTGACCAAAATGAATATGGATGTAATTGCTTTTGTCACTTTGTTGGCGAGGTGATTAATCTTACTTAGACGGGAGTACTTGGCACCGCTTCTCGTGCTGTCGGGATTAGAGTTTCAAACTGTGCAAAACACATTCTGGGTGGGGCGGGGGTGAGGGGGACGAGTGGGTAGCACAACTGCAGTACAAAAAAAAAAAAACCCCAAACCAACCAACTACTTCTGTTTATAATGTTTTAACATTAAATATTTACTTTTCATTTTTGTGTTTTACTGCCTGATGTTTCATCTCAGACACCAGAGTGTGTCCTCGTCTTCTCTTTAGCCAAATGCTACAGATGCTCTACAGATGAGCTGTGATGAAGCCATTGTGTTTTGTTTTTTTTGGCTGACCATAGCAACATGTTCACCTCTGGAAAGAATGATTTGTTACTTAAGTCTGTCAGTAAAACCACACATGTAGAGTCAACCAGGAGGTAATAACCAATTACATTAAATAATCAACAAAGAGTTTTGTTCTTTCAACAGCTTAATGGCTACTCACACTAACACAGACAATCCACTGGAGGCAGAAGAGGATTACCGTCACCATCTCCATGCACTTTCAAACACTCACTTGCTATTTTGAGAGCATTCATACTGACAAGTGATGCACAGAGCAATGCAGAGTATTCAGAGGATGCACTTAGAATGGTCAGCTGAGCGTAAAAATGTGGGACACTTCCCACCATTCATGATGTCATCTTGACTACACAGGAGCAGAGAGCGCATCACTGGACTTGTGACCTTTATAAAAACTGTAGGAACATTCATGAAACCAGGCAAGTCCATTAAAAAAAAAATTAAAGAGTAGTTTTCAGTAGAAACTGTAGAGGGTGATAATTGGGGTAGTACTTTTAGTGAAAAGTAGTTTAATTTCACACTAGACGTCAGTTCCTTGAACTAACGTTTACGATCAAAAGCCAAACACTGGTAAAATAATTATTAAAATAAGGTGACATGCCCATTTCTTCTCACTTGTTTTCATCTGCAGTGTAAAGACAACATGGGTTGGTGCTGCTGCCTAAAGTTAATGATGCCAAATATGACACCTGGAGAAACCATCATTTCAAAACTCAAAGAGATTCCTTAAATTCTGACAGGTTTCTCAGCAGTCTTAAAAATGTGATTTATGTCACTTTATATATCCGTCTAAAGAATCATTTTACCAATATTTTAGCTCAGATTTCAGAGTCATTATGATATGTCAGCTTAGTCTTCTATGTAAAAACAATGCCTTGTGCAAATCTACTGTCACTTCTCTGCTTTTTGATTCTCTTGGTGATAGTAATTTATTGCAAGAAAAAATGGCAACCGTCACTGTTTATTTTTTAAAATCTGAGCTGCAGTAACACACATTTGTTCACTAAAACTAGAAAAAAAAGGCAAAACTTCAGAGAGAATAGAGAGTTTCCAGAGAGAATAACCAATCAAAGCTTTTTAACAACCTATCAATCACTGTAATCAACCGAACACCTACCCAGATTAAGGTTGGATGAGGAGCTGTGATTAGACAAAGAGGGTGGAGGGGTCAGGGAATGGGAGGGACCCTGGTTTGGCAGTGGCATTCCCACAGGGCCTGGAGAGGGACTGAAGCCCAGGGTTCCATTGTAGAAGCCTCCGTGACCGATGGGGGTGAGGCTGGACGGCGTGCGTTTGTACAGCTCGTTGTTGCCTGTCAGGGAGTCCCGTCTGGATCCGCTGCCTCCGCTAGAGTTGGCCACTAGAGGGAGCCAAAGACAACGAATAAGAATGTGCATCGTTCATTAAGTATTAATCATCTGGCTGAATATCACAAGCCAATTATGATGTAGCATTTAATGAAAAAAAAACTTCTGTAATTAATCATCAAGGTAAGTGTGGATAAATCGTTTTATGATTCATTTTTCTCTCTTTAAAAAATGAATTACATAAATAAAACCTTCTAAAACAGCAGTAGAATTGAAGGTAATGCAGTCTCAGTGTACCTGCAGTGCCAAAGCCTCCTAGAGCCCCCAATGTTGCACCCAGGGAAGAGGAGGCAGGCTGGCTGAAGCCCAGTGACGCAGAGCCAGGTCCAGGCTGAGCAGAGCCTTGTGAGAAAAGAGAGGAGCTCTGGGAGGAGGAGCTGAGGGAGGAGGATCCGTAGAAGGAGCTTCCACCTAGAGCACCGCCGGGGCCTCCCTGCTGCTGAGGCTGCTGGGACTGCATGGCACGGAACGGACCATTGGCCCCACCACCAAGACCACCGTTGGCACCACCTGCAGATGCTGCTGCTGCTGCAACTGAAGGACAAAGAAGGGAAAAGTGAGGGAGGTTTTGCCCAATCAATTTGTCAGTGTAGTTTTTTTCCAACACTATAAATAAACACACTTTAACTGATGTTCAACACAACATAACATGGGGACATTATGACAGAAGCCTAAACAGTTCAATCTCCTAATCACTTAATTGCACTTTCTTACACAGTGTGTTATCACTCTGTGTTCCTGTGGACGTTCCTGTTTACGTTTAAAAAGTGTTACCTGCTTGTGCTGCAGAGGGAGATAAGATAACTGAGGCAGGGGCCATGAGGCGGACAGGGCCGCTCCTAGCTCCAGTGTTGACCACCAGGGCCCCTGTCTGATCATAGTAGGCAGCGGGGGCCAGGACTGGATAGCCTGGAAAGAAAGAGCAGAATGGAATATTTAAAAAGAAAAAAAGAAGTGGATTTTAGCAAACAGTACTTCCTCTATATCAGTTGTTCTTTAAGATTATACTTGTTTTTTAATCAAAACTTAAATTTAAAAACATTTTTAATCACTACTTTAACCAATTGCTGACTGGCCTAAGCAGATGGGCTGCAAGTGAAAGACTGGACTTTACAAAATACCATGTTCCTCTGGCAGAAACAGCCTCATTACACGTATTTATAGCTTTACTGAGAAGACATAAAAGGCACGAAAGAAGTAGAATTGAACATTTTACTTATGGGGACCATAAATAAAATTAAAGAACTGCCAGTATTAAATCAGTGCCCATTCAAGAGGTAGAACGGCTGAAGGCATTTCCTAGAAATATCCTTTGTAGTAGGCTACTAGAAGGGCAGTCTTCTGCAGGAACTCTTGGCACCTGCACCAGGTTCTTTTAATACTGATTAAATAACCACGCAAGAGTCTGCTGTACATGATGTGTTTTGCCTTCAAAGCCTTCAACATCTGATTCTGGCAGGAGATGTGGTTGTTTGTTCTTTCCCAGAGCTCAGTGCACCGACTTCTGTCCGTCTCTCAAACGGAACAGCGAGTGAAAGAAATTTAAGACGACCCCTTGTAATGCAGCCAAACAGCCAATTAGAGTGAGGACATCATATTTATGGGTAATATAATAAGCTGATGCTGTGTCACTGATGTTACATCTCAATTTGTATAATTGAATTTTGAAAACCGAGCATCATGCCATGATGACGAAGTCATGTTACAACAATTAGTTGTGATTACTGACATTGAAACAGCTGGAAGGTAATAACAGGGCGTCAGACGTTTGAACCAGCAGTCCTTCAAATGTAGATGGAGGACTAGCCGGGTCTTGTGTTCCCACTGAAGCCTACGTATATGATGTTGTAAATGTGTTGACCTGGTAATAAACCAGGTCAAAACCTGCCTCCTCTGCGAAACTTGTGACGTCAGTCTCATTTCATTGACGTAGAAGTCAGATTACTCTGAACAAAAATATTCTGGGTACATGTGTAATATTAAAGACCAAGATTGACAGCAACTTTAGGCACTCTGGACTAGACCAGCTTCAGATCAGACCTGTTCATTTATGATATTAGCACCAGATTTACAGCAGACAGAGCTGCAGTCCAGGGTGTGACTGGCTGTTTGATGGAGTGTCAGACTCACCAGGGACTCCTGCTGCCAGGCCCTGACCAAAGGCAAGAGCCGAGTTGACTGCCGCCGCCGCCACCAGCTGGTCATTCTGCTGCCCCTGTTGGCCTTGACTGGGGGTCAGAGGTCTCTGGTTGCCCCCAGCGCGCATGACCTTTACAAATTCAAAAGGAAAACAAACATCTGAAGATCCATAATTTTGCGTAGTACAACAATTCAATCCAGAGAAGCCGTGGTGGTCAGCAGATGTGAGACTAGAAATGGGTCTGGGGGAGAAGGCCTGAGCTACATCAACAGAGTCCATCATGTTTACAGCATGTTCCTGTTATCTATTTATCCTGTGTTTGGAAAAGGGATTTTAACCCACCTTTGATCTTTGTTCCACAGATTATTTTATCAACCTTTGATCCTTGCTCCCCGTATATTACAGTCTTGTCATTTTATTATCAGTCCAAGCTCACAGTTCCATATCTTTTGTGAATGTTTTCCTCACAAAGGTGTGGTGTTTTAAAAACACATAATACAGAGGCAGGACTCTGCCATGGCCATCTAAAGTTGGAACATAATTATAGCCCAATTAGTCGACGTCCCAACTGTTGTTTTTTATGTAAGATACACACAGGCTTCCCATGTGAACAGTCAGGCCTACGACGGAGAACTTAATTAGCAGCTTTACCCCAGGGGCAAGTCAAGTCCATATGAATCAAGGGTGGGAAATGACAAGTCGTACTCTGAATTATAACTCCAGTCTGCTACAGTAACTGCTGTTTTAATGCTAACAGATTTCACAGAAAGTGTTTGGTCTTGATTAACAGCTTCAGGTCGTCCTCAACAGAACATGTCACATTTGTCAAATAGGATTCCACTTTAAGATATTAAAAGTCAGTCTATTGTTAGCAGTTCATGTGCGAAGTGGCAGCGGGCAGAATGAAGTACAAACAAAATAAAAACTGACCTGCTGCTGGTGCTGCTGGTTCTGCTGGCCTTGGCCTCCTGCCTGCTGATTGGCTGAGCTGTTGGCTGCAGCAGCTTGCTGCTGAAACAGGTTGGCAGGGTAGACACCCCAAGGGGTCACTCCATAGTACTGGGGGGGCATCACTGCCGGGCCTAAACACAAACAAGTATGCAAAATAAATAAATAACAACTGGTGAGACAGAACTGGCAGGAGTTAAAGGTACTTTATATCCACGGTTTTAGAGAATCATGGGAAACACAGGGCCACAGCTTCAGACACAATCTGGATGTCTTACCCAGAGTAGCAGCTGCTGCGAGGCCGGCCGCATAGGGGTCTGTCCCAGGCGGTGCAGCACTGATGATGTAAGGGTTGGGCACAAACGCTGGGGCCAGACCTGCTGGACCAAAGAGGTGAGGACAGAGAGAACTTTACATCACACACTGGACTTTCTTCAAAACCAAACATGTAACTCAATGCTTATACTGTGTACCCATTCTTTTGTTGTGTTCAGCATCGTCTGTCTTAAATTAAAATGTATTTCTTAAACAGGAATATTTAAAACCTTGTTGTTTGTAATAGAGTATGCAGTATGAGACGTCTCCTCTTCAAATAATGCAATATTTTGTCCTCTACTAAGTATAAAAACTCGTATACTGCATCACAAAAAAACTTAACTGAAAACAAAACATACCCTGGAATTTCCAACATTGTTCTAACACGTGGTTCAGACACCACATGACACAAACTAAACCCTTACACAGAAAAATCACTTACTCACACGCCCATAGTTACATTTTAATGGCTACACATCATCCATTTTTAACATCATCCAGCCTTGTATAGTGATGTTTGTTTGGCACTGAACTCCTTTACTTTCTCCAAGGTGATGAACTGCAGCTCTGTGTTGTTACTGTAAGTGCATCTGCTTCAGTAAACTTTACTTAATATTTTAAACTGCTACATCATAAGGCCTGTAGTGCATTACAGATCACCTCTAAATATAGTTTTTCTGGTCACAAGAGGTAACTGATGGTGTGACCAGGTTGACTACCATAACATAATATATTTAAGGTCGAGATTGACATTGACGGTTTATGTAAAAGTGTCATCACACACACTGACCAATGTGAGGCTGCTGTGCAGCTGCCAAAGCGTACTGCTGCTGCTGAGCTGCCGTCAACTGCTGCACGGCCAACGCGTTGTTTCTCTGAAACAGCTGCAAGAGAAGATGATCCAGGTCAATCTCTCTTAAATGTCACTAATGATGATGACCTCCAGCCCCAGAAAGATGTCGGAGGAGGTGGTGCTGCTCTCACCTGCTGCTGGTTGGTGTAATCAAACAGACCCACAGTGGGCGCAGAGTCCATGGGCATCTGGGAGTTGTAGTCAAACTGAAGTGGCTCCATCACAGACTCCATGGGGTCCATGGTAACACCACCCTGTTCTACACCAGAGAAATCCTCAGGGGGCTTGGGGCCTCCTCCACCTCCGAGGGGGTTGAGGCCATCGGGGCCTACGCCTCCAGGACCACCAAGCAAATCCCCCTCTGGACCAGGGGCCGGCATGCTGCCTGGGGGACGACTGCAGGCACGAGAAAGGAGAATTCTTCTTTTAACAACAACAACAACAACTCTGTGTCAATCATCGCAGCATCAAACTTTATCTTTTTAATCACAAAGTTTTACCCAAACTCTTTAACATCCACATCCAGGCCGTTCTGCACCGGCAGTCCATTTGGGTTGATGACATCATTGATGACATCAGCTTCAGACTCTGTCAGTTCCTTGAGTTTCTCTCCCTCAAACGCTGCCTTGGGCTTCTCCCTCTTCTCCTCCTCCACCTCTCCATCCCTCTGGCCCTGTGTGATTAGCAGGAGACAGTAAATGTAATTGATTTGGTAGAAAACAGACTAAATTGTGCCCATGACACAACAGTGACATCAGTGCGGGAGAAAAAGAAGTAAAAGAGTCAGTGGTAGAGGCCTGGTGTTTACTCTGGTTTACACTGGTAGTATTGAACAGTCGTGAAGGTAATGTACATGAGACTTACATATGGCCCTTTTCGAAGGCATGGATCCAGTTTGTCAGCGGGGGAGGAAGAGAGCACGTACTCCACCATACTAACTCCCAAACCTCCACTCTCAGACCGTGGGGACATCACTGAGCCGACCCCAACTTCACCTCCACCGTGGAAACCCTGTCCCGGCCGACGGGACACCATGATTGGCTGAGACACGGAGTGATCTTCAGTGACAGAGGAAAACATGGATCATATGTGAAATAACAGTTGACATAACAGTACACATGGGGCTGTCTTTTCAGGTTGAAATATTACAAAATTAAGTAAGCAGTTACAGGCCTGCTGTCTGTAACTGCTATAAATCCCAGACTGGTTTCATACCTGAGGCACCCCATGCACTGTCCCTCCACTGGTCCAGGAAGATTCCCTTTGGTCCATCCTTCCCAGGGTCATCGGTCTCCCAGAACTTCTTCCCTGTTAGTAGCTGCTGCACAGGTACAAGACAACAGATGGAGACATGTCAGAACTGAAAATTGGAATATAATGTATATTATAAACAATGAAAAACAATGTAGTGTAACATATTGAGGACACAGGTCCAACATTACACGGTCACTAACTGAAGACAAAATGTTTACAACATGTCAACAGCCAGTTGGACCAGCTTACAATAAAAAGCATCTCAGCTCAGTCTCTTTACACTTTTCACAGCTTTGTTCCATCAAAACAAAGAAAACAGTTCATTCCACTTAAGGCAACAACACCTTTTGAATGAACCTGTTTTGTCTTTTCTTGCGAGTCTGAGGTTCTGCAAACACACAAATATAAATAGTTTATTCTGTCAAGCCATGGGGCCTATCTGAAAGGAGGTTCAATCCATTGTTTACAGACCTGAAGGGTAATTTAAATTCAATTTAAACTCAGGAGTGTCATATTGTAAACAAACTGCAGCCTGGTTTCCATATAAACACCTCAGTACAACTTCAGCTTATGTCTCACCTCTCCCATTGCGCGTCCCTCCAAAGCCAGAGCCTGAAAGTCATGGTTCAACTCATCCATGGATCGAACCTTCAGAGGAGAGTTGTATGAGACACAGGTCAAAACACTACACGTTTTCCACTAGAACTTATTTAATCAGCTGCGGCAGGTCATCCCAGCACCGTTCTCTCTCTGTGTCACAGTCAGTTTTGGTTTGGAAATAGTCTGTCAGTGATGTTCAGCAATGCTCATAAACATTGCCATTACCAAATTGAAACCAACTTCAGCCAATGAGTTAAGTACTTATAACCTTATTAAGTGCTAAGCTCGCTGGACTGTAATAACGTCAGACACTTTTCAATGATAAACTGTCACTGAGTGTCACCCCGTGGGTTGAGACACTTCAGGATATAAACTATTTAGATAACAGTAATGTGTGGTAGTACTAATTAAGGAGCGACGGGCTGCAGGAATCCTGGTGTTATAATCATACACAGTACAAAGACAGCTGTGTTTATTAATAATTAATTTGAATAATGTTTTGCATGACAGCAGTGTGAATAGCTGTTAGATTTAATGTTGGTACCAATACTGGACTGACATCAAATGTCATTAAAATACATCAACAAGTTTAGGTTTACACGGAAGGATGTCACAAAGTTAAAAAAACAAAAAAAACAACTGTTGTTGTCCAACAGCGGCCCATACACACCTGGCTGTCGTGGATGTTGTCTCCGGTGGGCCAGCGATGTTTGCCAGGCTGTTCGCCGTGCTGCCGCTGAAAGAAGTAGTCGACCATGGCATCATCCTGGGAACGTCCAGCACCCGCCACACCCTTGGAGACAAACACAGCATGAACACACATTATCCTGAAATTACTGGCAACATCGACAAGCAGAGTATCTAAGCAACAAATGAAGACACGGAAACACACACAAAAAACAATTATAAATAATAAAAATGATGATAGGTTTGCTGCCCCCGAGCACGATCAAATTATCACATTTTTGTCTGATGACATCTTTGACAGCCTTGAGGAAATCAGTCACTTGCACTTTCAAAACTTGCTGCAGTCATCAACACATCAGTGTAGGTTGAGATATTTCAACCACATCCTTTCTTGTAAAAACTCATCCAAACAGAGGCCACAGGTTGTTTTTTTTAAATAACATGGTTTGTACGACTTCCTCTCACAAACGTACGTAGAGTAAAAAACAAAATTCCCCTCTTGTCGTGAGTCAACATCCATGGAATTAGGTAGAAGTACTCATTTGAAAACAAGAAAACAGGAAGTCAACCCAACTGGACCTCATTCTATTTAATCAGAGTAAGTGGAAGTGCAAGTGAATTATTGACATTGATGCACAGCACACCATGGAATTTGTCCTCTGTCTTTAACCTATCACCTTAGTGAGCAGTGTGTGGGGACAGTGCTATGCTGGTGGATTCAAATCTGCCACTCTCTTCACCACCAGGACACCACTGCCTCTCATTCTTATTAGGTGGAAGATTTTTCTAGGAAGTTTCATTATGAAGGAATGACACTACTTTGATCTGGCTTGATTTGATTTGATTTTCTCTCTGAGTTTAAAGGCCTTCAGGGCACGAGAGGGAGTGTTGAAATATCAGTGTTAAAACCTCTCTTCAAATGCACCTCAGAATGTCTGACACCGTTTGCTGAAGGAGAGGTTGTTGGTGCAATTACTCCTTAAATCTCCTTTCAATCAATCAGTTAAATGTAAGTGCCTCTAGCCTGAAAGACAGTGTGTCTAACAGCGTACTAAGAGGACCAATATGACAAATGAAGTCAAATGTTTAGTACTGAAGTTCTAGTGATGGTATATACCATATAAGTGTTTGTATTACTTTTTATAATTATGATTTAATACAATCTGTATTGTATTTTTGCAACATTTCTTACCTTTAATGACCATACACAAAATAAACCCTCCAATCCAATCTAAAGAAGTCAGGTAAACTACTGCTAGACCAGCTGGATCATTAGAGGATTTAATACAACAAATATACAGTCTGAGACTTCAGACTATAAGACGATTATAATTAGTCACATTTATGGCACCAGGGCTAATGCTCACAACAGCATCGGCTCAAGTTGGCATTAAATAAGAGCTATCAAGACAAAAAAAAAAAGTTTTCTCACCACAGCACATGACACCTCTCAACTACAAGACCATGAAATCTAAATTAAAGTACATTTGGTCAATTATAACTAATGGTTTCCACCAGAAGATGTTTGAATCTTTAAACAGGTTAGTGACCACAAACAGGTAGCCGTTCATCTTAGTCACTTGACTGATTGATCAATAAAGTGAACAATTACTCAACCAAAGCTAATTATGTTTGTACTGACAGTTAACTCCATCACTCCTAGAAACGTCGAGCAAATCTATGCTGCTGTTCCATTGGATAAAAAAAGTGTGGAACACATTAATAAATAGAGCAAAGTTTTACAAAATCATATAATTTAAAATATTTTTTCTATTTTTTATTTTTAAAAAGCTTTCTTTTTAATGCTTAATGGCAAATGGCACAGTTAGATCCATCTAATTCAGGAATAAAAACTAAATTAAATGTGACAATATAAACAGCAAAACTTTGGAACGACCACAACTGTCTATGAAATACGTTCAGGTGTAAATGACGTAAATTTTACCTGCTGGCTGGGGGGTGTGGCCTGTGGGGTGTGCCCAGTGGGAGGGGCGTGTCCTCCGCTGCTCAGCACCACGGGCATGCTGGGAGATGTACTTCTATGGTGGGGGCTGAATGAATCCTGCCAGAGCACTGCTTTCGTCTTCAACACACACACACTGCTCATTCCACCACAGCCTGTCCAGAGAGAAACACACTGTTAAACACACTAATGTTTAAACCATGTTCAACAGTAACTCTCACTTTATACTTTTTCAATATTGCCAGAGAACTGGATTTTTTTACTTTACGCAGCAGTTTCAATCTATGGGCATGTGGACTAGTTGCAGCCTGAAAACTCACTATATTTGGCCCAAACTTAGATGTAAACTATAATTACAATAAATGTGATCATCAAATCTTTTAAATCTCACACTTCACTACGGGGCAAAATTCCAGAAAGAGACTTGTGAACACAGGCAGGAGTGGCTGTTTTGTTTCCACTGACTTCACCCATATAGTCTGGGTATAATTCCAACTGCATGGACTCCCTGGACAAAACTTTACCCCCAATTTGACCCGTGTAGCGTATTCTGCTTGAACTTTGTCCAAAGCCCTATGAAGACTAAACACTGACGAAAGACGACGTGCTAAACTGCTGACTATGAACATGGGAGTGAGTCTACTCCCGACCATATCAGCATTGACAACAGACAATGCAAGTATGGAGCTGAAGAAATAACCAATGCAATGGTTTACCTCTTGTTCCACCACTGCAACAGGTTAATCATTGCCTCTGCAGTTTTCTATACTGCACTACTCTGGACCTAAAGATAAAGAACGTGGTACTCTTGTGTAAATACAGATAACGTTTTTATCATTTCAAACAGGACAGGGACAAGAAACAGGCCCCACCAGATTTGGAAAAATGTGCATCGACAAACAGTATGTCGACAAACAATTAACAATTAACTACCCGTTGATTCAGTTTGAAGTACTGGAACAATGTGGAAATCACAGCACTGTCCTAAAATGCCTCTTTATGACTGTCCAATCACAACAGTACTGTTCCTTTATTTTTATGAGGGGAAAGTTTTATACAGGTCTGAAGTTTTTTTCTTGTTTTGTTTTTTTCCACAATGCATAGCAAACAGACTTCCCTGAGTGTATACAGCACAGTACAGTATACTGTAGTGAGTTTAATTCTTGCTGAGACAGCTGTATCTCAGCCGGTTACAGCAGACAGCAGAGGCCCTTCATCCAAGCTTATCAGTAGAGGATCACTTTACCAGCCCTCACTTACTTGAAAGCAGTCTGATTTGTTAGGTTAATTGGAGTGATGTCTCATTTGCCTGAGGATCTGCATATTCCACCACAGAAGAGCATTAATCAAACAAAATGTTGCATAAACTGTCACACTATCAGCTTTATTTTAATAGTCACTCTTACACACGTGGTACACAACATTTTGCTGCAGCCATACGAGGACAACAATATTTATTTGCATGGTAGGATAATGTGGCAAGCTGACAATAAGAGCAAATGAGGAGGAATTTGTACATAAATGCTTAACAATCAACAGTACAGGACAATGGTATTTTTTTGGAAATCAATATAAGGTACACTCTACACCAGGGGTACCCACACTTATTTGCCGTGGGAGCTACTGTTCAAATAAACGGCCTCAAGTGATCTACCCACCTTGAAAATGTTAAATATATATTCACTCATACACTGAATACTGTAAATAAACATCACCTTCATGAAGTTGGTTAAACAGCAAATTTAAATCATGTGACTGTTTGGTTTGTGAAGATGACCTGATCCTGCTTCCTTTTTTAATATAAATTAATATATTCTTAACACAACAGTGTTGTTAACTTAACTTCTCAAAATACACAATTCTAAGAAAAATAAACATACTGGCACAAAATATTGATTATTAACATTTTATTTTAAATGTTTTAATTTAGAATTGAAAAAAGAAGCATTTCCAGTGCAAAAAGCACAGCATGTACTTTTACTGTGAGAAAATGAAGTACATTTTCTGTTTTCATGACCAAAAATAACTCTTGCTAACTTAAAAAAAATAAAATAAAATAGAACAAGCGTACACCGTCCCAATCCAAAGAAATATTTTTAATTTGTATTTTTCCCAATTCAAAGAAATATTTTTAATTTGTATTTTTTTATTATTATTCAAGGCAACTCATAACTTTTTATGTTGAATTATGTACACAAATAGAATTTCTGGCAAGAGACCTAAAGGAAGTCTAAATTCTTTGCAGGATATTTTTGTTCAAATGCTTAACCGAGTACTGATTTGCATACATTTTGAGGGACTTTACCACATGGAAACGTTGCCAGCTTTTGTAGTAGGAACCATTTAAAATAATCACTTTCAGCTCGTGTCTTGTTCAGGACTGGCAATCATTACAGGCTTTTTAATGCCCATTGCTTTCTCTGACAAATTAGGGTGTATGAATCTTGCCCAAAGGTAGCATTCAACTCAAATGGGTTCAAACTTGGACGAATGACCTGGAAGATAACTTTGCCCAATACAGCAGACCAGAAAGAAATTGCTTTTGGTGTACTCCCTCCTTCAGAGCAGACCACCACTAGTTTTTTTTTGTTTTTACTTGAGATGACATTTGTAAAGGAGTACAAAGAGGAGAAGAACAACATATTTTGACAAGGAAGACTTGTTATTATAATTTGTAATTGCTGAGGAAACAGTTTTTTTTTAACTAGGTAGCATGTTTACCCATTCTACAACTATTATTAGACACACCCACTCCAAATTCTGCCCAATTACACAATGAATGGCAGACGCCGCATGAGAAAACAGTTCTTCCCGGGTGATGCACCAAGTACATGATGCGTAACTCTCAACCAAGGAGAAAAAAAAAAGATGTCAATCTTTCCTTGAAGCCTTGGGAGACAGGATACATTTTACAGTTCTTGCCGTGTAAGAACCATAACACTTAGTGCTTTGGCACTGCTTTACCAACCTGGGATATGGGTCAGTGTTAGCCAACCCAGAACCCACCACAAGCAGATGATAATCCTATCACTTCTCGACTCTGGCTGCTTGTTTCCAATTCTTTCCAAGTATAAAGCACATACACAAATGCTTGGTTGTTGTCGACAGTGGACAAAGTAACATCTCTGGATTACAGTCACAGGAATATAATTAGTACTTTACAACCTCTCTGTTTAAAATAACCTGTTACCCATCAGTGTCCCTACAGGGCATGAGGAAATTACAAGGGCTATTTCTTTTTCTTTTTTTTCCACTGGTCCATTCAGTAATTACATTATAGTCAGAGTCGATCTAACACATTGAATCTTTGAGCTTTCTGCTCATGTCTGCTAAAAATCCACCGTGCAACACACCCCCTCAGTACAGGCTGACAACCATGATTTGACCAACTACACAGTCCCAGCAGATAAAACCAGGACTGGTGTCTATTCGTGTCTCTTTCACGAGAAATTAAAAAAAAAAAAATCTCCTACAGCAAAGCATTAGGGAAGGGAGAGAAACACCCGGAAATCCACAGCCAATGTGGCTACTCTCCAACGCTTTAGGCGCACATAGCTTATTATCATTAATGCAACGACTTTTCCTCAGTATCCGGAAACAGACAATACCCTCCAAAAATCTAAGGCGGTTAATCATTATTCAATACCGGTGATCAATCCACCGCATACCGGGCACAGGCAGGGGTGTGACAGTAGTAGGTAACCTGCAGAGCTAGCAGGAGATAACGTGAAGTGTTTCAGAGCACACCGAATATTTCTGTCCCGCCACACATGACATACAAAAATTACACAAAATATGAGTGTTTTTTTTTTCACGAAATGGGTGATCAAATATCGGGAGTATGTTTTGTTTACATGCATGTGTCTTCACTCATGCCAAGACTGGGCTGTGTTATAGAGGCTTCGCTGCCCATGGCTACCAACAATAACACGGCCTCCGACTCAAGCTTTGCCCGGGCAAACCAGAGGCTAGACACGGGTTGAACACAGAGTTTATACTGACGACAACCCCGCCGCAAAATTACTGTATTGAGAATAAAAAACACCCGAGTGTCTCGGGGTGCCGGCCGACTTTGCATCCCTGCGGGTCCCCGTGACGGGGATGCTAACAAAGGCCCGAGAGCTGTCTGTCTGGAGG